CTAGAAACTGCGATGTCACACTCAGTGCTGTGGCCCCTTCCCTGCAGTCTTGGCCAGTCCTTCTGGCACCATTGTCTCCATTTTGTAGAGGGAAAGGAGAGGTGGGACTGACTCGGGGGGGTCACATGCCTTGTCAGTGGCCAAGCCACAATTAGAAACCACAGGCTGATTCGACTGAGCTCCACACTCCTCCCATCAGGCTGTACCGCTTTTCGGACCCTAAGACCCTTCTCACCCCACGCTGCAGTCTGGGATTCACTGGGTTTGGGGAGAATTGATTTCTGAACCTAATGATCACAGTCGCAGTCAGACAGAAAGGAAACGAGCCGCCACAGCATCTCCTTCTGTTAGTCCTCTTGCACTAATTGCTTTCCTTCCCCTCAGGTACCGAGCCCTGGTCCTTCTATTTCATTAACGGCTTTCTGAATTTCAATGTGGCATTTGTCTTGGCTCTGCTCGCCCTGCCGCTGACCTACCTCATGGAATGCCTCCTCCAGAAGTTCCACGGTGAGTGCTGGGAGCTGAGCAAGATCCCCCCAGGCCTCCCTGGAGACTGAGGAGGGAGCTTGTTGCTCCAAGTGCAGCCTTGCTTTACTGGCAGCAAACTGTTCGGTCACATGGCAGAGTTCCAGGAGCTCCTTCCCCAAAGCTCAGTACTGACCCTGCGATATGCTGCTTGGATTGGGAGGGAGTTAAAACACCCACGCTTGCAGCACCACGTATGGAGGGGCAGAATTGCATTTAGTTTCTTTAGGGATGGTCCTTTTTACTTCTCCCTCCCTACAGAAGAACACAGCGTTGGGCAAAGCTGAAGTGCTTAGACCAGTGATTCTCAACCAGGGTGTCACAGTACCGTGTTGTGCCTCGAGAGCCTTTCAGAGGTGCCGCTGCGTGCTGCACACTGTTAGCACTGCTAGGTGTACAAACACAATTCACAAAATAAACCCAGAGATTGCAAACTGGAATCCATAGCATTAAAAACATTCGGCCTTTCTGAGTTCTTTGGAACAGAATAATTGCTCTGTTATTTTTCTGTAGTCAAAAAAGGAGTGAAAACTAAGAGTGGGCATTTTCTGAGGGGGGCCTCAAGTCACAAAAGTTT